AAGAAATAGAAATGAGAAAAGAAATAAACAACTCAATGTATTAAAACATTAGACAATATGTCTAAAGGATTAGCTGATCTAGTTAATATTGTAAAAGGGTTAGAAACTAGAGTCCATGGTATAAGTGAACATTTGGATTATATAAAGTCTGAAAATCAAGACAGACATTATCCAAAAACTAATTGGGGAGGTGCATAGGGTTTCATGTAATTTCTTGCTCTAAAAATTAGTTTTAATATTAGTGGATACAAATATTTTCTACTATTAATCTTCTATCTAAATTTTTTCTGTACAAATATTAGTATACAGTTTCCTAATCTATAGCTTCTCGATGGGTTAGTATTCCTTTCCAGCAACTTTTTGCTCAGATTGGTCAAAAAGAGATGAGCAGGGGCATGACCATCAGTAGTTTTAGGTAACATTAGAGCAGCGATAATTGGACCGTTGTGTTATTAATTTAGCCATAGCCAGTTACATTAAATGTATTTGTAGTTTTTATAAATTTGTTTAATTTTTATCAACTGCAAAATAAATTGTTTAATAAAATGTGACTCCGTTGGAATTAAAAAAAAAAAAAAAACATATAACAGATTTTAATTTAATAACTAAATTGCAATAATGTTATTAAGTAAAATTTGAGCTAAGAACTAAATAAACCTACTGAATAAAGTTTAGATCTAAATCTCACAAATTGATGGAAAGATAGGATTTAAATTACAAATTAAGCTTCAAAATTTAAATATCCCTCTTTTCCTTAGTTTGTGAGATTTAGGTCTAAAATTTTTTCAGTAGGTTTATTTAGTTCTCAGCTATAATTTTACTCAGTAACAATTTGATGTTTTACAAATAAAAAAAAAGTAAAAATTATCAATTTTTTCTTTTTTATTATCAAAAATTGTTCAAAAACTGGATTGCTAATTTGCTGATTTTCAGGTGATTTGAAGATCAGATGGTTGATTCTAGGTGATTTTTTGGCTCGAATTGCCAAAAAATTTGCCAATTTTTGATCATTCGACCAACCCAACTGTCTGAAATTAATATGGTTTAGCCATAATAACAGATAGCACAGCTTTATTTTTGTTTCTAAAAAAAGGCTCCAGTTGCTTTTATACTCTGCCTAATCTTTGAGATAGTTATTCTTTCACCACAAGTAAAATGTTTTATCCTCATACTACCAGCTGTCAAGCTTATTCATTACTAATGTTCTGTATTTTGATTTAAGATATGAAAAATATATATACACAATACACTTTTGATTGAATTATCAAAATAAAATTAATCCCTCGCTTTATGGGATTATAATACAATGACTGAATGTATATTGTAACTTCAGGTAAATATTTTAGTAATTTATTAATATTATTAATATTAATTTAGTAATTTATTTTCAACATTATATTAATTTTAATGATTTTATAAATATTTATAGGTTGGCTGCAAGCAATTAAATTAATGACTGAAGATATAAGTCATTGGTTATATCATGATTGAGAAAAATTTTGAATTTCAGGTTAATTATTATTATTTTATCAATAATATTATTTATTAATTTATTCCCATAAGTATAATAATTTAGTAGAATTTATCAGTGATTAAGTGGTAATTCAATGACTCAAGATATAAATCATTGGTTTTATTGTAATCAAGAAAAACTTTTGAATTTCAGGTAAACATTTTAACATTTATATTAATTTTGTAGATTTTAGGGGTGGATTAGATGTGAAGGAACTGAGAAAATTTTTAGTGAATGTGGAAATTGGGAAAGATGAAATTAAAGGGAATAAGAAATACTAGTTAAACAATTAAACTAATAAGTATACTCTAATTATAATATGAAAATGAAACGACCACTTAACCTCCTCTTTGCAATACTCTGAAATTTATATAGTTTAAACCATTATTATTGAGAAACTTTTAGAGTTTCTTTTGCTTCATTCTCTTTGTTGCATTGGAATATAATCAACTATAAATTAGTCAAACAAATTTTCATAGAGTAACTTATAATAAAAAAAATACATATTAAAATAACTAATTTTTAAGGAACTATATCTGTTATAATTTATAGATCTAATTCATTATTAGATTAATTAGATTTATTTTTTAATTATCAATTGATTTGATCAATTTATTAATGTTAGATTTTTATTAAAATTTTGAGAAAAATTAAACAGAAAACAATAAATCCAAAATTATAATATTCATTTTTGAAAATTAAAATGCTTCAAGTTTAATAACTGTTAAAATTAATTTATTTGGATGATCGAATAATAAAAGGTTTAGCCAATTAATTAGTTAACTTAAAGATTTAATTTTTTTTAAGTAAAAATAACCACTGCACAAATAACATATCGCTTACTGAAGACGGAGTAAAGGTTCTATCTGT